CTCTGAAGTTTAACCACTCATTCCCCAGCACGGCGAGCACTCGTATCCTCCGGAGCACTCACTATAGAAACCTGCCCGCCAGGATGCTGATGAAAAAAGGTCTAAAAACAAGAGTGCCGCCCAGTTGATGTAACAGCATCTTGGAGTGTGAGAAGGGGCCATCAGATTTTCTCATAAATGGAAAGACAGCTAGTAAAGCGGTTGGCATGTGTCTTTGTGGCAGGGGGCTGTCACACATAGTTGAAACTATAGGCCCTCCTGCTGCTGAGCTGCATGTTAAAGCCTTCTTACCCAGACCTCCCAGCTCCTGGCTAAAAACCTCTTTATTTCACATGAAAGAAATGCTGGGAGGTTTCTCACTCACTCTATCCTTCCCGTACCCCCATCAACACTGCATTTGTAGTTGTGTAGTTGTTTTCCTTTTCTCTATTCTCAAGCATGCATAAAAACTTCTTATGTGACATATTGCCTTCATTCTTCTTTTTTTTTTATCCCTTTTTTCCATTTAAAAAAAATATTTATATTTTTCAAAGCTGCCATTTTACCCAGTGTTGTTATTATGTAAAAACTTAAAATTAACTTAAAATGATGATTAAAAATACTATTACTATTAAAATGTTTTCAGTAATTTAAATAAAGCTAGAATATAAGAAACAATTTGTAAGAATTTGAAATTTGAAGTAATAAAATTACTTAAACTAAAACTGAAATAAAAATAAATGATAAGAAAAACAATAAATAAAAATAATGAATAAGAAAAATATTAAGAAAATTAAATAAACTAATAAAAACACACTTAACAAATTACTGTAACTTGGGATTGTATATAACAAATATTGTTGGCTCTTTGACAAATTGCTTTTGTTTCTCTTTAGTAAGACGCTTTGGATAAAAGTGTAAATGTAAACTAAAATGAAAATGAAACTGAAAAAAACTTGGTTTATTTAAATATTAATAAATACTACAATAGTCAGGGGTGCACATAAGCTTTTCAGTCTGGTTCTCATAAGAGCACCTGGAGATTTGGTTTAGTCCTCACACTGCACATAATGTGACCCATTTAATATAACTATAAAAAATAAATTAATAATTGTAATAATAATAATATTATAGCACTTTAGTTCGTTTTTTTTTATAAAATAATAAACTAAATAATAAAATGTTATATCAATTATATTTTTAAATAAAAAGTGAGTATTAAATAAAAATACAATTATTTTATACTACACTTAAAAATAAAATGCTAATATTTACTTTTTTAATATGAATTTTCATCATTTTCAAAACTAAAATCAGCAAGCTTTTATTTTGGTGGGTTGCCGGCATGCGCTGCTGGGTTTAGCGCTGCCAACTGAAGCACGTCAGTAAATGAAATATCACAGTTATGAATTGTGTTTTAATAGCCTATATATATATATATATATTGCATAGCCTAGATTTATGCTTTCAGTTTAAATGGAAATCTTACAGTATTACAGTTAGTCGATCTAAAAAGGTGATTGTGCATTAAAAGTCTGTCTAACATGTCGGTTTCGTAAACGAGTGCTCTGAACTTATTTACAAAGCACATTTTTTAATTTTGGTCATGCATACCACTTACGTGCACCCCTGACAAAAGTATATAACTGGGTTTACCATACACAAAATGTGGTTTTAATGTCTCTCACATTTTTTTCATCACATCAGCTGACTCTTTTCTTTTTCTCTCTCTTTTAGGCATATGAATGGGCACTAGAGGGCATGCGTCATTTGGCGTGTGTTAGTATGGAGGAATGTGGCATGTCTGACAAGTGTCAGAGCGTGATCACGTGTCTGGAGACCTATCGCAGTCAGCACCCCCCGATCCCCGACGCACACTTCCAGGAGATGAAGGACCTCGCTGGGGAGCTGAAGAGTGAGCAGGGACTCAAGCAGTGGAAGTTTGCCTGGTCCAAGTGTCAGGAGACCAAGCAGATGTTTGAGAAGAAGCTGGAGATGGCCCTGCGCACCCGCCGCGAGAGCGGCTCCAAATCAGCGAGGGGTGACTCCTCTCGCCGGAACTCGGACCGTAGCGCTAAACCTCAGGAGCGTAGCAGTAGCATCTCCTTCTCATGTCGGAAAGCGTTCGGTGGAGGCTGGGGCAGGGACAGACTTTCCTCACATTCCAGCATGTCCTCCACTCCTAGCAGTCCTTCAGGCATTCGCATGGACGCCCGTGACACTGTCCGAACCCCCACAGGAAGTCCATATAGCATTGAGCACAGCACGCCTGTCAGATCCCACAGGCTAACACGAAGCATCTCTACAGACGAGTCTCCGCAGCGGCCACAAGTGGAGGGGCAGGCATGTGCAACAAGCCCAAGCCTCACTTCTATAGAACCAAACCGCAGGGTTTTGCGGAAGACCCAGAGCTTTGATACGGCCGGTAGCGAGTCTGTGTCACGGTATGGGACCTGTCAGAGAACTTTGAGTGAGCCTGCACGGAGAGGAAACACAGGGGTGTTCATTAAGGGTCTGGAGGTGAGCAGCACTGAAGTGATCGATCGGCCGTACAGCCCGCGACTGCCGCCCATGCATGGATGGTCTTCTGTTGATTCACACCGCAGCGGGAGTCCTGCACCAGAAACATGCAGCAAGGGCAGGTGGGTACATTTATACAAGTGCTAACCCACACTCACTTGCTGTAACATAAACACAATCAACCAGGGAGGTCTGCAGGCCATTGACTGAAGCATGCTTCAGCTTAATACCACTTAGGCCCTGTCCCAAATGGCATCCTAAACCCTCGTGGTCTTCCTCTGAGTCCGCACTTTCGTGACGTAATGCCGCTTTGACTGTCGGGTAGAAGTCTGCTGCGGAGCTCGCCCCAATGTGGGCTCAGCAGAAGTGCGGATAGAGGGCGCATAACGGCCACAAAGGGGGCGCTCGCGAGCACCCTTCTGAACGCTAAAATGACGAATGGGACACCCTACGGTCTCGTGGACTTAACGGACACGTGCACGTGGCGGCCATTGTAAGTCCATAAGACCGCAAGTGCACATGAATTGTTCCATTTGGGACAGGGCCTTACTATATATCCACCACTTTATGATAGCTGTGTGACAAAACACACACTCACACTGGAAAAATGTGTTCTTGTAATAGAATATGAGCAACAATGCTACCAAAAACACAGACAAATATATTAAGCCTGGCACACAGTGTTTTTGCAAGACAAGAACACATTCAAAGGTTTTCAAACTGAGCTCCGGGAACCCCTTAGGGGGTGCTAAAGTGTCCATGGAAGAGCAAAACAAAACGAAAAAAAAAAAACTCTCAGGCAACAAGAGAATATTCTGAGCAAAGCAAAATTTATTGTAGCTGTAAATAATTACATATAAATAATTATAGCAGCTGTAAATAATAAATTACATAAATAATAAATACTTATTCAAACATACTATGTAAATAATTATATTATTATTCTAAATGAATTATATAATTAATAATGTAATTATTTTAATTATGAATATATTAATTTATATTGCATAATAATGTTGAATTGGATTGGAAATATTATCTTTGTTAGTAAATCTAACAGTACAGAAAATTGTCTAGATATTTTTAACTGTATTTCAATGACGATATTAAAGTCAGTTATTTATTTTTGTAAACAACATGTCGTTAATGTATAAAATCATACTTTTTTTTACACATTACTAATGGGCCTCTATACATGAAAATGTACAGTGTAGCTTAGTCTTTTGCAAAACGTTGAAAATCTAAATGCTGAAAACACCTTTATATCTGTACTCACAGCAAACTGCTCAAAATTGAACACACACACACACAAGACATCCAGGGAAAAAAAGTTTTCCAGCTAAAAACCATATACAGACTAAATCATGTTCGTGATGTGTGCATAAAGGAACTCAATATGTCTCATATTAAACGGTCACAGCCCCATAATCCTCTGAATCTCCATGGATGTCTTTTCCAGCTGTGGGTCCCTCTGGTCACCCCTTAACCCCCTTGGGAAACAGGCCTGAGATACAGATCACTTTCCCAGGTGGGCGCTGGTCCTCTGGGCTTTGAAGTGGTGGGGAGCCTGTTTGTGTTCTGCTCCTCCACAAAGAAGAGATGGATGGAGTTAGCTGTTTATATAGACGTCTTAAGGAGGTCCTTACATCTGTGTGTCTTCCTTTCAAAACACATTAGTCAGCTTTATTCTCTGAGATTACAGTACAGAGGTGATGTTGACACAGTTTTTCAGACAGAAATAACTAAAAACATGCTGTTCGGCTCTGTGTGGTCCAGTTATTGCAAATATTTAAGGCTAATGAAAATATTCTGATAAGAATCCAGTTTAAGATTAATGTAAATGCTAAAACATCACCTTGTTTTTCTCAATACTGGACATACACACCATGTTCAGCTGTGTGGTGAGAAGGTAAAAGTGCTGTAAGTAATGTAAAGTAATGTATGTAAGACAGTCAGACAATAGGTGCTCTATGCTTGTCATTTACTTTAAGCATTCAGGTTTGCTGTGATCAGGGTTTTATGAAGTGGTCAAAAAGATCTGGGCAGTCAAGTGTTAAACTTTGTGTTTTAAAACTACTGAGTATAAAAAGAATGCCATGGGAACGGTCACAGTGAGCCATCCAGTCTGAGTTAGAGATTATGGACTCTCACAACTGATTGGCTTGAGTGTTTCAGGGAGAAAGCATATGACATCCTGGAGAGACGTGTGAAAACACCTGTCCTTTATGGTTACACAGTCTGAAAAAGCTGTTAGGGCACACATACTGATGTCACACTGACATACACTACCATTAAAAGGTTTGGGTCAGTTTTTTTATGTTTTTGAAAGATGTCTCCTATGAAAGCTGAATATTCAGCAGCACCCATTACTCCAGTCTTTCTTGTCACATGATTCTTCCAAAAGAATTCTAATTTGCTGATTTGGAACTCAAGAAGCATATAACACAGTGCCTTTGCGCTTTGGGCGTCACGAGTTCCAGTTCCGGTTTGCGGACCTTTCCAGATCCCGTCCCCCTTCTCTCTTCCATTTCGCTTCCTGTCCTCCCTGCACTGTCCAGTCAAATTAAAGGCAAAAATACCAAAAATAAAATCTCTCTCCCACTTCGCTTCCTTTCCTCTCTAGACTGTCCAATCAAATTAAAGGCAAAAACACCAAAAATAAAATCTTAAAAAATAGAAACACGTCTTATCAGTGTTAAAAAAACAATTGTGCTGCTTAATGTTTTTGTGACAAAAGTATGCATTTGAAGTATGTTAATTGTCCACTCTCACTGTCTTTCAGTAAACTACGCCACATCGTAGATGAGATGGTAACAACGGAGCGGGAATATGTGCGTTCTCTGCGGTACATCATTGACAACTATTTCCCTGAGATGGAGCGCGCTGACCTGCCACAGGACCTGCGGGGAAAGCGCAGCGTCATCTTCGGAAACCTGGAGAAGCTGGTGGACTTCCACAGCCAGTATTTCCTGAAAGAGCTTGAGAGCTGCTGCAATCACCCACTACGCGTCAGCCACTGCTTCCTACGACATGTAAGAGAGTTCCTTCAGTCACAGTCTTTTCACAGTAACTAGCCCCAAACGCATTGAGGGTGGCCTAGATGTTTACATATATAAGCACTCTTTTAAGGTAAGCACCTAAAGGACATCTGAAGTTTAGAAGGACAGAAAAAAACACTGTACTTTTACTAGTACACTCACATTCTTGTCCTATGTTAATATCAGAGAAGGTTTTAGTTTTAAGATCTGAGCATCAGTTTGGTCTCCTGTAACCCGTAATAACAATAAGATGCCATGAGCCCTCAATATTGATTGAGATGATATGTGAATATCCTCTTTACTCTGTCATTGTCTTTGTAGACAGCTGATGTGGGTATGACAGAGACGTCGGGTGAGAACGCTCTGAGGTTTGAGGTCTGGTTCAGGAGGAGAAGTTCAAAGAACCAGACCTACATTCTCCAAGCCAGCACTGCCGAGATCAAACACGCCTGGACCTGCGACATTGCACGGATACTGTGGCAGCAGGCCACACGGAATAAAGGTGGGAAAGAAAAAACTGAAGCGGTTGAGCTTTAATAAGTTGTTTGAATTTGTTTTGTTCAGCATACTGAACATGAGAGGATAATTGCAGATAATATTTCCTGTCTCATACCATCTTAGCATATCTAAAAAAAAAAATTCTAGCATTTCATCTGTAAAGGCCTCAGGCAGATTGGAAGCTATTTAAAACACTTTCGAGTCACACCAGTGTTGTGTTTCTACAGTTTGATATGAGTGTGAGAAAATGATGCAAATCCAATGCTTTGTTCAACCTGTATTTGCATAAATTTACTCAATCCCTAAGAAAATTCTTTTTACACTTTATATGTGCTTTATGCTACTTAATTCTTCAAATTCATCATTAAACTTAATCAACAGTTATTGGAGTGTCAACTAGGCCTATATAGTTATTGACGCCAGGTTATTTATAATATTATCATTTGTGTAGTATTAACGCGATATCAATATTTCATTTTTTAAATGTGTTATCTTCAGTACTATTGCAACTTCTGATATATGGCAGCGTTTTTAAACATGTTTCTGTGTGTGTATGCAGAAATTCGAATGCAGGAGATGGTCTCTATGGGGGTGGGCAATAAACCCTTCCTGGACATTAAACCCAGTGATGCTGCTATCAACGACAGAGCCATTGACTACATTATGAAAGGCAGAGGTGAGCTTGTTTAACATGACAAACTCATCAGAATAACTTGCTTGATTTTTTATTTTTTTAACTCTGACCAGAATAATATTTTGATTATGATTCTATGGGTTGATTTTACTCTTTCTTCTGTTACAGGGGCCAGGACGAGAGCCTCCATTGCTGTCTCGCTTTTTGACCACTCAAACCCATTCAAACGAGCTGCAGTAAATGCTCCCGTTAGTGGCCCCCCAGTGTCCAGTGGCCCCTCCTCTTCCACGCTGCTGGGCCCATTGAATCTGCATATGTACAGCAGCCAAAGCCTGTTAGCAGGGGAGAGACCTCTCATCAGCCCCTGCATCGAGGAAGACGAGCTGGAGCACGAGACAAGCAGTCAACCGTCTATGAGTATGTATCATAACATCTGAAAGTGTTAAACATTTCCTCAGAAGCCATGTATATAACAGAATGTTGATCTTTGACTTGTGTTTGTAGCTACAGAGAGTTCGGGTTCGTCGTCTCACTGTCTGTCAGGTAGTGGCTCGAGCGGGTCAGACAGCGGATGTGTGTCGAGTCACCTTCCCGAGGCTTTGTCCGAGGAGCCCAGCTCACCGTGTGACTCCTCCTGTTACTCCTCCATCACCTCTCCCACCCAGGAGAAACCCTGCTTTAACAGCCAGTACATCTCAGCGGTTAGTATAGCGTGTGTCTGTTTCAGATGGCACATCTTCAGGCCCGTGCCAACATCAAATGACCAATCGGTGTCACTGAGGCTACATCCACATTCATCCGGATGAATTTGAAAACACATTTCACACATCATTTCACTATTTCTATACCTCTTGGCCTTTTACCCACTCTGAGATCCAGCAAAAACTGAGATTTTTGAAGATGCGCTTACAAGTGGATACATATGAAAACACAGTTTTCCTGTTGTAGTGTGGGCTGTGAAAACAGCAGTATTCGAAAGTGACGTTGCATGTTTGGCCTATTGTTTTACTGGCAATTTAAAGTAATGGTCGACCGATAAATCGGCTGATATTTGGCATTTTTCAAATATCAGCATTGGCCGATACGTTTTTCTGTTTGGCTGATATGTTCGAGACATTTATTTTGATGGTGCGCCAGACTATATATATATAATTTTATCACCCTGCTCTCTAAGATATCGGCATTGGCTGTCAAAAAAACAATAACCAATACTGGTGCAACCTGGACACACCAATGAGTTGCTAATAAAATGATAGTGCCAGAATAGTGTGAGAACTTTATTATGTTTGTCTCTGTGTACCATCAGAGAATGTTTTAAAACAGAAACACCATTTTCAAATATATCCGGATAAATGTGGACATAGCCTGATGCAGAAACATGTCATAACACCCATGCTTATGCCAGCACTAATAAACACATTCACTGATCACCTGATGATTAAATCAGAGCCTCCCCTTTAACCTGTGATAACACCTGCGCCCATCTCCTTCTCGTCACAGGGGGAAGCTCAGGTGATTGGTCCCTCTACTATAGTGTGAGCTCAGTAACCACTGCTGCAGTAAGTCTGGCTTTCGCTCCATGACATCGCACTTCCATAGCTATGTGCATTAAAACTCATCTCAGCTCAGATATTATTCATGCTTAAACTGGTGCTTTTACACGTGCTTGTATGTAATGCAAGTTATTCTGTCCTCCTTCATCCTTTAGGTTTAAGACCTGTCTGCTTCAGATTGTGAAGACAACGTTGCCACACCGAAGAGGAGTACAGAGCTAGTATTTATTGTTCCCACTGAGTGCCAGCCAATCTCATGCAGAGTTTAAAAAGCGCTCAAAATAGCACTGTTTCTCTTTTTCTTTTTAAGCCACTTTTAGCTTCAATAGCTTTTATATAATTTTCAAAATGATCTATAAAACTGAATAAATATTCTTGTATTTATCTTCTTTTCAAATGTTAAGATACAGTAGTGTTCTCAGCTGTATTATTAACTGTAAATACTGTAGTAGTGTACAATACACTTCTGAACTGTTGCGGTTATTCAGTTCCCACTTTTTTTGTTGTTGTTGTTGTTGCCCATTTTGCTGCAGACTTCAGCTGGTTTGATTTTGAAAAAAAAATGCCTTAATGTTAAAAGGTATGGCTAGATTTCTAAGCATCAGTACACTAAAGATGTTAAGCAATGTTTAAAGCATTTGTTGTAGAGTTTCTGTTCTTTCTAGTGTTTCCATAGTTTGTGGACCTGTAGTCAGTCAATATGCTGTATGATAGCTGGCCTGATCCAGAATCAGAGAGCATTCATTCAAATCATACGACTGACCTCAGGTCAGCACTGCTGCCTGTTTGGAGATGGTGAGAGTTTTCATTTCAGTTCTCTTATTTACATTATTAACTATAACAAAATACAACATGTAAATTGTAAATAGTTGCACCAGTGGTGCTTTGAGGACATAGCGTTTAGGAAGTAATGTTTATACATGTATTAACCAGTCAACATGGGAATCACTCAAGTGCCATTCTTTGTTGCCAACCCAAATTTGAAGTGTAAAATCAAAAGATAATAGTAATTAAAAAAGCGTTGCAAGTTCCACTTCAAGCTGAAGCATGAGTATGTACTCAAGTGTTTTATTTTCCATCTTAACAAGTTCACACAGAAGTAATAAAGACTGGATTGCTTTGTACCGGTAAAGAAAGTGTGTTTTATTTATTGTCTTTAATCATTTATGATTGGCATAAAGTAGAAGCACATATCCCACAAACCCTGCGGGCTGGTATTCAATTTCTGCACACTGACTGAGCTAAGGAACAGATTCATTGTTACTAATGATGTTATTGTGCCTTGGGGCACAAGCAGTGTGTAGTTTAAATGCACATTCAAATACATGTAAACAAGCAGTGAGAAATGATGTTCGGTTCAGTTTACTGTACCGTTTTAGCCTGAGGAACATTGTCATCAATAGCTTATTCACACTATTTGTGAATGGCTTGTGGAAAGCAACTGTTCTTCATTGGCCATGCTTTTTTATAATTATATATAAGATAAGCAACAGACACGTAATGAGTTTAAACAGGAAATACTGTGTCTTTGCCTATGAAACTATAGTTACCTTTGAACCACATTTTCTTTTTGCTGCTTTATTTCTCTACATAAATTAGATCCACAGTAGCATGGTTTGTCTGTAACGGGAAGGAAGGTGAAAATACTTGAATGATCGCCCATTAATCATTGTAATCTTAATCTAAAAACCGATTCGGGTGGGGTTCCATTGAATAGATCTTTGTTCTTTTAAAGCCTCGCCTGGAGGAAATAGACTAGATTTGCTTTAACCTCTAGAGTCCATTTTGGTGGAGTCAAGTATCCCCATCAGGAAAGCATGGCATCCATTGGCCAACATCATCTACTTGTATGAGCGACTGAAATATGCAAAGGCCACATCTGGACAGGGAGATATGAAATTAAGTTGTTTAGCATGTAGGAAATGCCACAGAATTTTCCAGCGTTCTTTGTTTTGTCCACACACGGATGGAAACCACAAACCCGAGAGTGGAACGGAACTCGATGAGGCATAATTGGCTGAATCATTCACAGCGTGAGTGAGTATGATGAGCTTTGAGTGCTCCAGTGAGGCTGCATGGGCTTCTGCAGTACTATGGTTTATTTATCTGTTTTACCAAGAATTATTTGCACCATCAATCTTTAATAATATTACAGCCAAATCTGAACTTCAGGAAGTGTGAAAAGCTGAATATGAGCAATGGAAACATACCGATTCATGTAAAATCTAAAACACATCTCTCGGATCTCCAGACAGTCATGAAATTAACGAATGTCCATCCAGCACACATAGATATTCACAAAACAATCTTATCTTAACTCTTACTTTACACATAGCCGAATTCTAACCATTAGGCAAAACTCCAATCCTAATCTTCCCCAAACCACAATTAAGGTTACTATGGTGTGGTAAAATACAGTTTATCTCTGATGCATTTTATTTCTATTGTTAGTTTTCTGATGCACTCTTTTTTTCCTCTCTCTTTCTTTTGATTATGTGCCAGTTATGAATGTTGTGTGATATTTATCTGCTTCTCTTTTTCCTAGCGTGTAGAAAGAAAAAAATAACAAAAACCTAGGTCTCCTCTTCTTAGCCCTGGAGGATGATCGACCTGTACCACAAATCACCCAGCAGAGGGCGCACAGCCATGAATACCGCAGCTCTCTGCCTCATCTGTTTTGTTTATATATATTATATGATACATTGGGAACAACTTAAAATCATAAAACTGCCACCTATCCTAAACTGGGATCGTTGTTTTCATATTAATTACATTTAGTCATTTAGCAGACGCTTTCTTCCAAAGAGACTAACAAATGAGGACAAGCAATCAACACCAACAAAAGAGCAATAATGTAGGTATGTAATATGTAAGTGCGATGACAAGTCTCGGTTAGCCTAACGCAGTACACGTGGAACACTATAATAATTAAAACGAAAACAAGTACCGGTAGATAGAATAGAAAAAGCATTGACAACGCTAGTGTTCGAGGGTCATTTTTTTTTATAAATAAAAAGAAAACAAGTCAAAAGAATAGAGAGCGTTAGTGTTGGAGGATATTTTTTTTTTAAAACAATAAGAAGAAAACAAGTAGATAGGATAGAAAAAGAATAGAGAGTGCAAGTGTTGGAGGGTCAAGTGTTGATGGAAGAGATGTTTCTTTTTAGCCTTTTCTTGAAGATGGATGGTCGTAGGCTATTATATATTACAACAGTGGCTCCTCAGAGAATCTTTCACTAAAGAAGAATTCTGTTACTTCCATTAAATTCTTTTTAAGGACCTTAAAAATACCAATGGTATATGAGTAGCTAGCTATATAGGAGTTTCACGATAAGTACAGAAAACAAAATACCATAGTCTTATCATTTGATACCATTACTATACCACTGTGTCACCCCAAAGCTTGTCCCTGTGCTGTTTGTCTAAATTTCAACCAAGCCCCTGCTGGTCTGTGCTGCTGGAATGTGAGTGCTTCTGTGCTGACGCTGTGCTGAGTGATTGACCCGGGCCCTCTGGGCTTCTGGGCGTCTGCATTAGTTCCCTTTGCTTTCTCACACAGGTGTCATAGTTTGTCTCTTTGCATTGTAAATGGTGTGTGTCGTTGTGCTGTATTAGTTCTGCCTGTATCCGGGTTCTGCTGGTGTCCACTCATCATCTATCTGTTGATGGAGATGACATTCATCAGTACTGCAGTCAACAGACTCATCTTGGAGAGACCCACATGTCTGCTAATCTCCCACTGTATATTTATCACGGGGCCATTTCTCTAATGTAACTGAGGCGACAGACTGCTGTTACATCTCAGGCACTCCATGAAATCTGGCGCAGGTGGCTGAGGGGCTGCGCTGGGCCAAGTGTGTGATAGAGAGAAACGAGTTATTGGCTGTTGCCTGATATGAGAAAGGTTTCCAGGTGATGCTTGGGACGACTCATCTGTTCAATCTCTTTTAGGTGCCAGCATCTTTTCTCACTTATAGCATGTGTTAGTAGGTTGAAAACCAACATATGCTGTTGCTCTGAGTGCCTAGAGGTCTCAGTAGAGAGGAGAGGAGACCCTCCCTATAAATTACATGTGGTTTTATCTACATTTTACCTGTACCTTTTGCACCTATGTTTATTGTTCATGGAGTCACTGAAGCATTCTGAAGCATTTGTCTGGAGTGCTTCATTTACATCTTCATTTAAATCCTTGATGTTTAACTTAACCATGGTAAGCAAACCAAATCAAGCAGCCAGCAACAAACAATACACAATTTCTAAACCTTTGTCCATCACCCTTAACTATCAAACTATCATTAACCTTACTAGAAAGAAAGAAAGAAAGAAAAGTTTGTGAGAAGTATGTTAGTGACAAAGAAACATGCTTTTTCATTGTTTTGTCCTCTGCTGACAAAAAACCCACAGAACTTCTGTTATGGATCGGATAGCCTTATGTCCACTGAATATACTTTACATGCTGGAATATCACTTTAGTACCAGTAGTATTACGTTTACTGATGATATTGGCTCACGACACACATAACATACAAAGGCTGCACAGGTGTATCCTTCTGCATTTGCATTTGTGTTTCTGCACTTGGGTTAGACGGTGAAATGCTGTTGAATGCTGTACCAGGTGCCAGATCTCTTATGCACTGCTTTAGTAAGTAAAAGAAACAAATGTCTTTGTAACATGGTGAAATCACATATGCATTACACAAAATATAAGAAAAATACTAATCGGCTAATGAATGATCCATCATTTGTATAAACCTGTCCTGCAGTGTCTGTATGAAGTGGATCAAACCAGCTGTGCTCTAGACAGTAAAATACTGGATCAGATAGACCTTCCACATCTGAAGAAAATTAGCTGTAATGAACAAAAAAAAAAAAACTATAATTTCTGCACTAACCTCATGCAGCTGACATAACTCACTGTTGGTTTAAACTCTCAATCAGCATTAAAATTTGCATGGAATGTATGCATGCTTTCATGAATGTCTAAAACCCCATCAGTCAAATGCATCAACTTAAGATATGCCTATATTAGGGGAAATGTAAGTTTTGGACAAATAAGCAACTTTTCCACAGAAGAAAGAAATGCGTGAAAGTTTGGGCTGTTACGGTATGTATGAAGCATGACCAGCAGATGGCACTACTGTCACATTCACCTGGGCACACTCTTCACTTCATGTGTCTTAACTTATGACAGATACGAGGGAGGACTCGTTGAGATGTCTTCTCTTTTACATCTAGATCTTCTTGACGTGGACGTAAGAAATGTTTGTCTGACTTCAGATTTTCATTAAAAAAAAAAACGGGGGTATTTGATCATCAGATACTCCTTAAACATCATACATCACATGAAAATAATAATAATGAGTATAATTAAAGGGATAGTTCACCCAAAAATGAAAATTCTGTCATTAATTACTCACCCTCATGTCGTTTCAAACCCGTAAGACCTTCGTTCATCTTCGGAACACAAATTAAGATATTTTTGATGGAATCTGAGAGCTGTCTGACCCTGCATAGACAGCAACGCAACTGAAATGTTCCCAAGTCCAGAAACATAGCAAGGAGATCTGTAAAATAATCCATGGCTGCGTTTACACTTGGCATTAACATGCGACCTGTATCCGGATGTTGTCCACAT